TATACATTTAGTAAACTGATTTGGTGTGATTAATGTTTAAAAAAAAAACCTGACCTTCGTACCTTCGTACAGTACCATATCATGAACCAGACACAAAAACAGCTTCTTATCATTACGACACGAAGAAGATAACACTTTACCATTCTTGATGTGTTAACTGAACGTGGAGAGGATGGTACTGTACTAGGATCAGTGTACCGTAAAGATACATGGACTTGCCAGTACTTAAACTTTTACATTTTTGTTCCCATTCACTGTAAACGCGGCCTAGTAAAGTAAAAAAAAAAAATCCTTTTTCACGCCTTAGGCGCATTGGGTATATGGGAAGAGCGTCCTATATTTTTACAGACCAATCGGCACTGGATGGGTAATGTGGTCAGCATTACGCCGGCCAACTTTACTTCCACAGGAAAGCCATCCTGGTACCCATTTTAGGCTGGGTCGACCTGCGACGACCCATATCATGATACAAATCCACGCAGCCAGTAGTGGGTTTCGATCGCGGAACGTTGGATTACGAGTCGGCCTGGCAACGCCTAAAACACGGACGCCGCGCGGCCTAGTAAAAAGCTTGTTTAACCGTACCAGAAAGATTTGTAGCAAAGATTCACTGGCAGCATAAACTAACAACTTCACGACACGTCTGAGTGGTCTCGATGTATGGCGTCCGCCTCAAGTGTTAGAGGTCCAGGGTTCAGGCCCCGGTGAAGGCTGGGATTTTTTCACGTCAACTTCTAGTAATTTCTCCTGGTCTCTGGGTAGTAAGATCGGGTGCCCGTGTGTATTGTTGCACACTTAAAAAAATATATCGGCAGTTGGAAATCGATAAGTAGCCTAACGGCGCTGCTGGGCAAATTCGGGGTTAAAAAAATAAACCCAAAGTATTTCAGGATCCTCTCTGGTGCTGAGATTCTTCGGACCCAGGTTTGAGTTAGTAGTAGAACGGAACATTTATGGGTTTACTACTCTTGTGCTATGATGCTAATCCGCCGTATAAACCAAACTGTACCATGGGAACTTTATATCAAAATGGGTAACCAAGAGGGTTAATCAAATGCCAAAGCATGCCACATAATTCAACCTCCAGTGAAATTACAGCTCAAATCTGCAAGCGTTTATCCAACTAGCATTTCGAGGAGACAATGCCAGGCAACGTCTGCAGGACCGACTAAACACAGCTGTCGATCAAACGTTTTGTTTGTGTGTTGCTATTGTTGTTGCGGCTGTCCCTGTGGTAAGATAAAGACCACTTCCATCCATACTCCATCTGCTAAAGAAACAGTATTTCCATACACCAAATCCAACTGCATTTATCAATTTACATGTATGTGTCAGTGGACTTACAGCCAACTGGAAAAAGAGCCAAGAAAAGAGAACCTAATTCTTCAACAGGACGTTATTTTCTGGACTCTAGACACGTAGTTGGTGAAGACTGTATTGATATTTGCTAAAAATGATCGAGGCTGTATCAGTAAAACTCTTCTCTCGTATGTTATGTAACCAGAAAGATGACATGATCGATTGAAGATGACATGGTGACTGATTTTGAAATTCCGGCTTACAACAACTTGACTTCATTATATGTTGATTTAACTATGTAGTAATGCACCTGACGTGATACATCGACGTATGCCAGGCAATAAATTATGCAATGTATTGTTGTTTCCGCATTATTTAAAAAAAAAAAAAAAAAAAAAAAAAAAAAAAAACTATTTACTAGAGTAATATTTTTTCAGTAGGATTCATACTAAAATACAATAAAAAAAAATTTTCAGGCAGTGACTGCCTCCACCTCCATTCTCAAACTAGACGTTGTGATATCATATGCCAGGCTTTTTTGCACTAAGCGACGCCAATTCGCTTTTGCTACGAGCCCCGAGGCACTCTTCGTTTACCTCTCAACACTGAGAAATGTGCAGTTACAATCTATAACATAATATTATATATAATATTATACAATAACACCATAGATAACGACTAAAAAGCATTACATAAACACATACATACTTTATTGACTTATATAATACATTATGTAATCGTATTACATTAAAGCACAGTATGAGTCCAGTGATACTAAAATCTCACGAACATTGACTAATGCTTAGATCAGAATTCTTCTTCAGTTATTTTCTTTTTCCACTCCTTCTTGCTGCGCCCAGTGACCTTGCAAAGTCATGGGTGTCCGATGCGAAAAATTGTGTCACTCGCTACACACACACACACACACACACACACACACACACACACACACACACACACACACACACACACACACACACACACACACACACACACACACACACACGCAAACACACCAAAAACATTGTTTATGTTAAACATACATTTTTGCTGTTTTGTCACCCTCCTCAGTGATGGCACCCTGCGTAGCCTGCATTAAATTGTAGTAAACATTATAATAGAATGGGTTAATGTACCGCATGTAGGAGCAATAAATGGTTAAACGCATATCATGAAAAGAATAACCTGCATAATATAAAGAGTAACCCATATCATATAAATAGTAACCCATTTCATATACAGAATAACCCATATCATATAAAGAGTAACCCATATCACATAAAGACGAACCCATATCATAAAAAGAGTAACCCATATCATAAAAAGAGTAACCCATATCATATAAATAGTAACCAATATCATATAAAGAACAAATCATATCATATAAAGGGTAACCCATATCGTATAAAGAGTAACCCATATCATATAAAGAGTAACCCATATCATATAAAGAGTAACCCATATCATATAAAGAGCAACTCATATCATATAAAGAGTAACCCATATCGTATAAAGAGTAACCCATATTATATAAAGAGTAACCCATATCATATAAAGAGTAACCCATATCATATAAAGAGTAACCCATATCGTATAAAGAGTAACCCATATCGCATAAAGAGTAACCCATGTTTTGTAAAAAGTCAGCCATCATATAAAAAGTAACCAGCTAACACAGGGTGAGTTGCTCAGTACTCTACTCAACTGAAGTACTTCTTCTGCAGTAAAAAGACTATGTGAGCTGGGTGGTCTCGCGGCATGGTGTCCGCCTCGAGTGTTGGAGGTTGAGGGTTCAATCCCTGGTATGGGCTGTGATTTTTTCACGTGGACTTGGACTTCTAGTAATTCCCCCTGGTCTCTGGGTAGTGAGATCGGACACCCGTGTGCATTGTTGCGCACGTAAAAAATCAATTGGCAGTTGGAAATAAAAAAAGTAGCCTAACGGCGATGCCTAGTCAAAATATAGAGTTAAAAATCTACCCAAAGTATTTCAGGATCCTCGCCCGTGCTACAGAGTCGGTGCACTGTGTTGAGCTTCTTCGGACTCAGACTTGAAAGAACTCTTTAGAGCAGCGGTTCTTACCCTATGGGTCGATGCCCTTTTGTGGGTTGAACGACCCTTTAACATGGATCACTTAAGACCATCGAAAATCACACATTGACTGAATTTATAAAGTAAAAACGAAAATAATTTTAAGGCTGGTGGTCACTAAAGCATAAGGAACTGTATTAATTTTTTGAGTCCTAGAGGGTTTAGCGTCACAGGCCTAAGGGGTAGTCAAGAGAGACTTAAAATCAGCGTATCTTGCGTTCATTGGTCTTCTAGGTAGGAATCTATGAACGAATGATACGTTTCTTGAGACTCAAAGAGTTATAGGGTCGCGGCAATAGGAAGGTTGAGAACCGTTTATTTTAGACCATTGCATTTTAACAACATGATCTCGTATTTTTACTTTCAACCAGTTGCGTAATGTAATGTCCTTATCACCAGCAAACGATGCAGTAGTATAGGACAATGTATTATTGATTTGACAGGTTTCACACACACACACACGCACACACACTGATACACACACACACACACACACTGATACACACACACACACACTCACACACGCACACACACTCACACACACACTCACACGCACACACACGCACACACACACACACGCGCGCACACACACTGATACACACACACTCACACACACATACACACACACACACACCGATACACACACTCACACACACATACACACACTCACACGTTTCCATCCCTTTCAGATTGGCTTTCTACAGGAATAACACCACAAGAACGAGAATCAGATAGCTACAAATTCCCGAAGAAACCGTGTAAATGTATTGCCATATAGCACATTTATGGGGCGGGGGGGGGGGAGGGGGGAGAGTCTCTGTGAGGAAATGGTCAAGCTGTTCATTTTACGCTCTGAACATCATGGTTTCGTTCAGAGGCTTCGTCCTTTACCTTAGAAGTACATTTTTGTTGAGATTCCTCGGGATCGTAACTTGAGCAACGGAGTTCGTGCTCTGTGCTACGCTCTCGCAGATGATAAGCCGTTCTGCGGAGAGAGACTGAGCCATATGGGATAAAATTCGGTGCGATGAAGTCGATCCTCTCGACTTTAACCTTGATCATTGATATCGGTGTACAACAAAACGATTATGAAGTAACCGGTAGTCCAGTGTGGGTAGGTATGACATCATTTTGTTTGTTTCCTACATTTCCAAAGTATATCCCATGTGGTCCACAACTCTGTATTACAACTTGGCGTCATAGTACAAGCCCTGAGTGTAACGACTGTTCAACAAATATCATCATCATGAAGCAGGTCCTTTGCAGAACGTCGCTCTCATCACGGTCTGCCTGAAAGAAACTCGGTCTCTCGCCAGCTCTCCGGCCTCATTTCATACACAAGGAGTCACTTATATCCTGTGCCCATCTTTGTGTTGGTGACCCCCTGCCCCTTCTTCCTGGTACCATGCCTTCTGCTATTATTTTTGTTCCCAGTCCGACATAGCGCTTGATATGACCAAAATATATCAGCTTCCGAGACAGGATGCTGTTAATTAGCCGATCTTCCTTGATGTTCAGATCTTTCAAGATGTCAGTATGTCTCCTCTTCTTTATCTAAGATATTCTGAGAATCTTTCTATAGCATTTCAGCTCAACAAATATAATAATATTATTTCTTTTTACAAATGCTGGTAAACGTGGTTCTGAAAGATGAACTCATTGCATAAAAAATGAAAAAATTAACTGCTCCGTTCCCCATTTCAAGGATCCACAAAATGTAACAGACAAACATAAAGATGTTATGATACCTTCGAATAAAGTAGAATTCGTATACAAAACATTTCACTATATATATAGCGATTCGCGGTGACAGGCAAATGACGTACACGCTAATAATTACCACAAGCATTTTCACAACTTGTCTGTCTCGAGTACTTAGTTGATTACTGGATTCCTTGTTGATTTCTGCTTGGCCTGAGCGAAACTTTGAACTCTGACGCAGCATATGGACAATAATTGTCGTGCATATAACAATAACAGTGAAACTAACCAGAGGCCAAAGTATTCCTGATAAATTATAGTACCAAAAAAGAGGATTTTCATTGGCTTCGTAAAACTCATTGTGTTTATATAAGGCGATACTTGTGTTGTACCTGTTGCTATGGGTCCAGTAGATATCGTAAATACCGAACATCACCGAAAATAACCCAAATATTACTACGGAAATGAATAAACACACAGTCAGTGTGACTTTTGTAGTCAGCAGCCATTTCACCTTAAAGGGAATACAAACACATAAACATCTTTCAACGGCTACATAGGCGGCAAGAACGCTAGTGACGTAACTTGAATAACAATGAGATAGTTGAAGACCACCACGCTGATATTGGTCCAACTTTCAGCATCAGATTTCGACCACACTGCAAGCGGACCGGACATTCTTTGCATGGCCGCAGCCAGACATTTAATAAGGTCCCAGACAGCGATGGTTGTCATGGAAATGTTGACGCTTTCCTTGAATCCTTGCTTGACAAAGACAATGATAACAAGAATGTTTGTAACTATACCGACATTAGAGATTGTGAATGATATAACAAAATCCATGATTATTTCGGAGATTCGTCTTTCTTCGTTGCTCAAAAAGATCTCCACTGGGTTGAATTCTAATTCATTCATTTTTCAGAAGTTTGAATGTAAAAATGTGGAAACTGTTGCTGCTTAGAATGGACGTCTTCCTCTAGATATTATTATATTGTAATTCATCAAACTTGTCAAGCAAAACACATGTAAGTCATAGTCAAGTGTAATTATGTAAAGCGGCGCTCTAGAATAAAGAAACACTAGTGGGTTATGTATAATGAAGTTTACCGCAAAGAACAGTTATTATTAATAAAAAGAAGGATGTTAAAACGAACACAGATACAAAAGCCACCACTGAGGATTGCAAGGATGCTTTCTATTGCTGGCATGAACTGTCAAAACCTATGAATTGTTATCACTTTAATATTATAGAAAGAGACTTCAATCATTATAGTGACGCACTGAGAGTTCAGTCAAACCTAGGGTTCCTTTATTTTTGAAAAGATAAGACAGCTGTCTTCTAGATGACTAACCTGTCACATGGAAGCCACACAAGACGAAGACGAATGACAACTCAACGCCTTCCACCTGTGTGTGCTTGACAATTATTTGTGCTTGGAAATTATGTTCTTATCAGAAAGATTATATATTCTTTTATTTCCGTTAGATAGTGTATGTTGGGGGTAAACTAGTTCATTTTTTCGTATTCAAAATGAACGTTTGTTTCTTTTAAACTGCACAGTTCAGGTAGTGTACAAATAGTTACACAAACACACACAAACACACACACAAAACACACACACAGTGGTACCTCGGTATACGTACTTAAACCGTTCCAAATCCTTGGAAGTATACCAGACAGGACCTATACCATACAGGGCCTATATCATATAGGACTATACAAGACAGGACGTATGCTAGACAAGACATATACCAGACAGAACGTATACCACCACACAGGACGTATACAAGACAGGACGTATACCAGACAGGATGTATTCCATACAGGACATATACAAGACAGTACGTATACCAGATAGGACGTATACCAGACAGGACGTATACCATACAGGGCCTAAACCATACAGAACGTATACCAGAGAGGACCTATACCATACAGGAGGTATACCATACAGGATCTATACCATAAGGACGTATACCAGACCGGACGTATACCAGATAAGACCTATACCAGACAAGACCTATACCAGACAGGACGTATGGGAAACGAATTTTCTCATGATGATAAAAAGGATGATGATTAAATCGTTGCCATGGGGAGTAAATGCTATTGTAATTAGGAAATTATTCGTTGCCGGGTTGTACAAAAATATGTATATACTGTCTGAAACTAAAATACCCCCCATATTGGTTCCGGAGCCCCACTGTGGGGGGGGGGGGGGGGGGAACTAGAGCCGACTCACTGCCTACCCAAAAGCGTGTCGTAAAAGCGAACAACTGGGAGTTTCCTTCGAAGTCCGAGTACATCTGTCTGAAAGAAAAAGAGCCAACAGTCTGCTTGCATATGAGTGAGATCTGTAAAACAGATGTGCACGCAACACTCAGTTTCCAGAAGTGGATGAACAACCAGAACCTTACGCGGGAGTTTACAGCTAGTGAACGCAAGGAAGAAAAAAAAGTTAGTAGCGTTTCTTTTACAGGACGTTGCAAAACCAACCACAATATTTTTTTGGCTGTTGTGATTTTTCTAGGCAGGTTTACGTCCAGTAGTTTGCCATTACTTCCTGGACGGTTGACTTCTCGATACCACTGTCGAAACCAACGCAAGGCGCAAGGCCCGCAGCTGGGATTGAACCCGGCACCCTGGCATCACGAAGCGCGTTGGTAACGCCAAAGTCACAGACGCCGACGCGAAGAAGAAGAAGAAAATAATAAAAACTAAAGCAATTAGATAAAATAAATTAAAAAGTAATCTCACTTTACCTGCCTGCGAAGAGTCAAGTGCTTACAATGATGATACTGAAAAGAAAAGAGTAAAAGCTAAGGACCCTTTTCCACGCCTTCGAGCTCATCGAGCATTTTGGGCTAGGCCAATCGGCACTTGATGGATGATGTGGTCAGTATCACTCCGGCCGCATTTACTTCAGAGGACTGCACCTGGGTGGACCTGGGAGCCAAGGTCATTTAAACAAAAACAAATATTCTGGCCCTGCCAGGACCCAAACCCATGACATTCCGATCCGCAGACGAGCGTCTAGCCGCGACACCACGGCGACTCCCGAAAAGGAAAAAGGATGAGATGTTATTGTTAGCAGTGCCACAGTGATTGTCCTAACTAATCACTAATATTTTTTTGAGAATCACTAAGGTAGGTAGGTAGTTGTACCCCACGAGGACATCACACAAGCGATAAACACCCGGTGACATAAAGTGCCACCATGCGAATGAGGATCACAACAGTGGAGAGGTCCCAGAATACCCTTTTCAGCCGTGGGGCCAAATATTAATGGCCCTGCTAAATTCAGGGACCAAGGCAAAAACCAGGAAGCGGCTTCGAATAACAAAAAAATTACGTCCCACATGGTTAAGGTTAGTTGCGTATCCTTTACAGGACTTTGCAGAACCAACCCCAACAGCCCCTTGCTGTTGTGTGGTTTTTATAGGCAAATTTAGGTCCAGTAGTTTGTCATTGCTTTATGGACGGTCGGCTCTCTTGATACCACTGTCGAAACCAACGCAGGGCGCATGGCCCGCAGTTGGGATCGAACCCGCCATCCCGGCATTACGAAGCGTTCGTATCGACTTAGCCACAGAGCCGACTATCTCACATGGGAACGACTATATTAAAGAGAAACACTAAGCGAAAATTATACAACTTAAATCATACAACTGTTTAAATGCGCGATGAACTTAAGTAGGAAATATTTTGATACGGAAAAGAATAGACATTTAATTATTACTGAATAAAACTTTTCCAGTCTAGGTTTCGGGCCCTATTGTGTGTGGGGGGGGGGGGGGGGGCAAGAACAGACCCACTGCCTTCCCAACAAGCATGTCGTAAGAGTCGACGAATTGTAAGCTTCCTTCGAAGTCGGAGTGCATCTGCCGGAGAGGCAAGTAAACAACAGTCTGCATACAAATAAGCCAGTTCTGTAAAATGGATGTGCATGCAACACTTAGGTTCTGGAGCAAGACCAAAATCCAAAGGTGAACGAACAAACAGAACTTTATAGCCAGTTAACGCGTCGAAAAAGAAGTGTAAAGCTTAACTGGGACCGCAGCGACGTTGCGGCTAAACTCACCCTGCTTCCTAAAGGTTTGTGTTCGAATTCGCGCCGAGTCGCGTTAAAAAACACGACAACCAACAGTTTTAACCAACAATATTATGAGCAAAATATCTTCTTCTTCTTTACGTCCTCTTTTACCACTTCGGGTATCGAGGGAGATATAAGGTCCTGCTTCGTGCTTTTCTGGTTGCTTCGAATAAAGACACATCGTGGTACAGTAGAGTTTCTCTTATGATATCCTTCCATTTTGTTCTTGGTCTACCTCTTACTCCACGTCCCTCTCCTCTTTTGGTGTATGCCTTGAATGATCAGAAGACATTCTCTCCAAGTGGGCAAACCATTGGATGTACTGTCTGTCTTTCTATGTAATTTAGAATTGGTTCTGTGCCGATTTTATCTTGTACGATCTCACGATCTCGTGTGAGCAAAATATCGATAGTTGAAAAGCAAACACTCCAATGCATGAGTACTGAATTTTTTTTTCCTTTTAGTCCGTGGAAAAAAAAAGTATTAAGTAGTATATAACAGGGACCGCGGTGACACAGCAGCTCGACCCGAAGGTTCTGTGTTCAAGTCGCCTTAAAAAACATGACAGCTAACCGTTCTACCAATAATTTAATATGCAAACTATCAAGCTTGTGTTGCTTTTGTGTGTCTATAAATTAGAAATTTTTTTTAGCAATATAAAGCTTAATTGGACCGCAGTGACGTAGCTGCGAGATTCTCGTCTCTCGGCTCAAAGATCGCTTGTTCGAATCCGCATCGAGGCAAACAAAAAATGACATCCGAGGCTGATCCAGTCCAAAATGGGTATCATGTCAAATATTGGAAAGTAAAGGCGGCCTGCCTGGTGTTGGCCGCAGCACCACTGGGACTGACTGTTTTGCACGAATATAAGTCTGGTATCATAAGCATTATGCGCCACCGGCGTGAGAAGTGTACATTTATTTACTTGACCTTCTAGAAGTTCAACTATGGAATGAGTCAAGAGTAAATGCTGAACAATTAAACTGTTAGGAAAATGTATTGCAGACTCACAATTAAATCACTTAAACTTCACACACAGCTCACTCACATATTTTATCACGCAGATGAGTACTTTTATCGCCCAAGGCATATTTCTGGTAATCGAAGACACAGACAAAGTCGTCTGGGGGAAAATAGAAATTTCAACAAGCTAAACATTCCACTGGGAAAATATGTCTTGGTTTTAATGTAACTTAAAGGTTCTATAATCGAGCTACCGTTGTAACACATTTTACTGTTTTACGCTGGAGGCAAAATATATGCTGCCTTTTTTTCTTCTTTTTAGTCATAATTACTCAACAACGGTAAAGTCGCTTGTGGTATCTAAATTTCATAAATGACAAATTAATCAAGTGCAGTTCTCGCTGCATTCTCATTAAACGAATTATTTTCACAAAACTCTTCCAAAAGGAATTTTTTCCCCAAAACACGTACTACTTCAATGTTCATATGCAGAATGTCGATAGTTCAGAAGGTAAACACTCTAATATATGAGTAATGATTTTTTTTTTCAATTGAATGTCAAAAGAAACTATTGGAGAGTAGTTTATAAGTTACCACTTTAATACATAAGTATTAATATTTGCAAAAATATGACAGACTGGCTTCCTGGTCGACCAAGCCTTAAAGAGCTAACAGGTAAAGTCCTGCGAAGTAAAGGCGGGCCGGCGTGATGCTGACCACATCACCAGTCGAGTGCCGATTATCTTTAAAATATAGGATACATACTGTATGCTCAATACGCCTATTGGCGTGGCAAAGGATTCTTTACCCTTTACTTAATATTTCAACTTCGTATGCATCAAAAGTATCTGTTTCAGA